ACCTACTCCTATACCACTGAACATAGCACGTCGAGGAAGTCGGTCGTTGGGCATACGTAACACGTGTCCCAGCCATCTCAACTGATGAAGTTTCACTAGTTCATCAATTGATTTGCCATCCTTACCTAGTACTCGTTTCCTAACAACTATGTTACTTACTCGATGGTCCCATGATATACGAGCAATGTTTCGAAGACACCTATGATCAAATACTAGTAGCCTACGGATATCCTCTACTCTTACCGGCCATGTTTCACTGCCATGAAGTAGGACGGAACGAACTGCTGCGCAGTAAACACGTCCTTTGGTTGATAGACGGATATCTCGCCTACGCCATAAATGACGCAAGTTGGCAAAAGCTAGTCGACCCTTCTGTATCCGTGCTGAGATTTCGTCACACACTAAACCACAAGGGCTGATGAGACTTCCAAGATAAGTGAAGCGGTCGACACACTCAACTACTTCACTCCCTATCACTAGTTCGGGTGTCGATGTAACCCAATCCTGAAGCAACATTTTGCATTTCGAGGGAGAGAATCGCATCCCGAACATGCTTGCATTGTTGCTTAGAGTGGTCAGAAGACTCTGTATTTTGTCAGCGTCTTCACCAAATAAAACTATGTCATCTGCATATTCTAAGTCAACAAGTGAATCTCCCGGTAGAAGTTCAACCCCTGGAAATTTAGATGAGGAGAGTGTTATCTCTAAAAGTACGTCAATGACAAAGTTGAACAAGAATGGGGAGAGTGGACAGCCCTGACGAACACCACTTGAGGTAAACAATTCTGATGACAGTTCGCCATAAGCTCTCACTCTACCAGTTGTGTTCGAGTAGAGAGCCTTTACAAGGTTAATGTACTTCTTTGGTACTCCTTTCAGTGACAAACACTGCCATAGAACCTCACGATCAACAGAGTCGAATGCCGCCTTAAGGTCGAGAAATACTACCATTGTGGGGCGTCTGAATGTGTGTCTGTGTTCTAGAACCTGACGTAGCGTGAATATCTGATCTATACAACCACGTCCAGGTCGAAAACCAGCCTGATTTTCTCTAGTCTGCTCTTCACGAGCTTTAGTTAGGCGTCGAAGTATTATTGAAGCTAATATTTTAGACACTATATTAGTCAAACTGATTCCTCTGTGATTGTCACAAGAGGACTTTTGTCCTTTCTTATAGACTGGCACAATCAGTGATTGAGACCAGTCAGATGGGATTACGTCCAGTTCCCAAATTCTACCTAAGACCTCGGTTAATCTCATTGCTAATACTGGACCACCATCCTTAAAAATCTCAAGAGTAAACCTGTCAGGGCCTGATGCTCTCCCTCGTTTCAGATTTCCTATGGCTTTTTCAACTTGGTAAAGGGACGGAGGACTTACATTAACTTGCCATTCAGGTTGACTAGAGATCGTGGGAAACCGAAGTGTGGCTGAAGGCCAGTTGAACTGATCCCTAAAGTGTTCTGCCCATCGATCCAATCTCCTGGATTGAGAATGAATAATATGTCCATCTTTCTCTGAGAGTGTCTCGCTAACAGTCGGGTTTCTAATTCCGATTTCCTTAACGAGTCTGGACAATTGTCTGCTATTACCTATTGCCGCTGCCTTTTCCATCTCTCTTGCTTTCGCCACCCACCACTGTTCGCGATCATTGCGTAGACTTCCTGTCAGCTTGCGCTTAAGCTGACCCCGCTCTTCATTATGTTCAGAGCCAGGTGGAATGTGTTTCCGAGCATCTATCAGTGAGATAGATGCTGCTGAGATCCAGTGTTGCTCCCTAACCTTCTGGTTTACCTTACTAGCAGATATCACTGCTGTTTCCACAGCTTTTCGGATATCATTCCATGCTGCATCGGGGTGGGCATCACATACATGGCTGCCTAACTGTTTTCCTAGTTGTTCCTGAAATATACTCTTAGCTTGACTATCATTAAGTAGGCCCCTAAGAGGTTTCCTTGCAGCGTCTTTCCTACGTCCAGTAAGACGCAAGCAAATACGCGCTCGCACTAGAGCATGATCTGAATCTAGGCATGTGCTCCAGAATGAGCGACAGTCTTCTATCGAGCCCCTCCATCGGTGGCTGATAGCGATGTGATCTATTTGGGTCCAACGTTGGGACGAATTAGGGGGTCTCCATGTTAAAAGATGTTTTTCCTTATGTTTAAAGTTAGTATTTGCAAGGAACAGGCGGTTATCTGAGCATAGCTGCAACAGACGGTCGCCATTATCTGTTCTTTGAGCCACGACACCATAAGATCCACCTAGGTGTCTTTCCCTATCGCTTAGTTTACCTACTTGAGCATTAAAGTCACCGGCCACTATTACTACATCCGAGCGCTTAGCTTTTCGGAGAAGGTCGGAGAGCTTTCTGTAAAACTCATCTTTTACATCATCTGAGCTGCAGTCAGTGGGAGAATAGGCAGAGACGACGAAGAGGCAACGACGAGTGTCCCTATCTTTCCGGATTCTTACTGTTCCGTTCAGTCGGACAGCGCACAAACGACTGTCTACTGGGATCCACTCTAAGAGAGCTAGTTCTGCCCTAGGACTCAACGCTATACCTACGCCGGCAAAGTGTTCGTACGTTAAAAGCTCCTACGTGTAGTTTAGAGCGTGGTTTCAGGAGACCAGGAATGGCGTTCCACGTACTCGAATCGTTTGTCCTAGCGGTGCGAGGTGATAAAGAGACGTGAGGAGGGTTAGTCGGGGAGATAAGAGAGGTATTAGAAGGTGTAGGAAAGATTTGAATGTGACCACCTTGGTCTCTTGTGCTGTCACGGGTATGAGGGCTGATATCACTTCCCGGCTGCCCACACCGTGGAAGGGTATTTCTTGAGGAACCTGAAAAGGAAATTGGATTAGTGTTGGTCTTGACGACCTGGGAGCGTGATCGCAGAGCCCAAGGGACAACTGCTTGAGGCCGGTCGCGCACGGCCTTTTTGTGGAAGGTTTTTGACGTGTTAGCTCCGTTCTTCAAAGGGCCTTACCGCCGGAGACGGAAATCCGTGAGGTAAGGTGAGGTGTGACATTTTTAGGGTCGACCTTTTCTAACCCCACCCCTCCTTGTGGGAAGGCAGCATCGCTGTCATGCTGGATGTCCGAGGGAAACACCTTACTGCTGTCACACCCCTCTACAGTCAGCAGTACGACTTCGCCCTTGAGTTGCTGCTTTTAGTCTTACCGTTCACCAATCGACCTGCCTGGCATGGTAGAACCTGCAGGAACATATGTTCTAGCCAATATAGCTCGGTTGGGTCATCACGATAGGCAAGCCCGACCACCGCGTCAAGGTAGCAGCTTCGATCGGGCATGATATCGGTCACCACCTAGTGATCAACCAACTCTGATTACATCTCAGTCCTACAGGAAGTCGATCTCGGCCCAGATAGCCCAGTGTTAATGTCTGTGACTGTGAAGCTGGGTGATACGGGATCGAATCCGTCAGGGAGCACCGTCACCCTCGAGATTACAAGTACGCCTTGCTGACAAGTGCTAACTAGCATGAAACTCGGGTCCAGGGTTTCCTGTTGACTACCTCCGACCATCATCTAATAGAGAAGTGATATTATGGCGTGCGCTACTGATGTCGATGATAAAAGTAGTATGTATCATAAATCGAAAGTGAAATACCTGGCGGCAGAAGATTAAGATGATTGAAAAAAGGAGAAAGAGAACAGAGAATCATTGGTGTGGAAACGAAAAAAACAACAATGTCTGAGACGATTGGTTGATATTTTGCAAACGAATTATTTACTGTATGGTTCTCAGATTTTACTATGATGTTCTGTAATTTTGTGTTCATATATATTCGATCGTGTCCAATTGTGTTCTCGTTCGCTACAATATTTCTTGAAAAATTTGGAGTTGGCTTAACCCAATATTATAATTAGTTCACTTAGATTTATGATAATATTCCAATGACATTGATAAAATTAGACTTATACTTAGCATCAGATATACACATTATTGATTGCTATTAAGTAGTCAATTAGTATACAATGAACATTTATTGTTTCATGTTCGAATTCAAAAAAAAATACACTTTGATATAGGAAGTATGGTAATTGTCATTATGAAAGCAAAAAAGAAATTGAATACGTGGTTAGGATTAAACTATCATAATGATATAGGTAGAAATGGGCGTTGGCTAGCAGTGGAGTTCAGGACGAGCATTTCGTCTTGCATCCCCGAGTTGGCGTTCACCTTAGGACTAATCACTTACAGTCCTAATCATCAATGAGAAGATTCAAATAACCAATACAAATGAAGTATCACAATGATAGTTTTAAAAATAATGTATATACAAAAGTACAAAACTTGTCACTAAGCACAAAATCAAACACAGAAGCCAGTAAGCTGATAGCCTTAACCTACATGAACAACTTTTCGGGGATTAAAATCAGTTTTTTAAGTCTTTATAAATATTTTTTGCATCATAGGTCTACAAAATCTCTACAAATCATAAAACATAGCATCTGCAGAGAATAAACCAATTATCACTGCCATAACGCTTGGTTTAGCTTAGTTTAAAGTTATAACGGTTGGTTTTCCACGTTTACATGTATGGGACATTAATTTACCTTAGATGAATATCTACACTAGATTCCCTCCTAGTGTCTATTCTACAAGACTTCAACATAACTCAGATCAAAAACACGTGATCAGCCTGACTACAACGTATATATATATTTCCACACCAAAAACACGACACAATCCAACAACAATGAACAATTAATAATAAGGATAGGGGAATATATAACTCATCTGACACCTGTCGGACTATCTACATTTCTGACTAAGCAGACAACCAATCATTATCATTCTTGCCCACACATCAATCACATATAACATAAGATGTAGGGGTGAACAACTAACTCTATTCTCAAAATATTTTGACTATCATAACATAATACGCTGGCATTAAGTAGTTTTAGTGAATTGTACATCAAAACTATATCACCTTGATTACATGATCTAATTAAAGAATTGAAAAAGATATTTAGAATTTCAATCATTTTATTATTTTTTTAAAAGAAACTTCAATCGATTAGTTCATATCAAGACTACTGTTACACATACTTTTATACAATCATCCTGTTGCATAACCTGGTATATACTCTCTATTAAATTTGTCAAATAATGGAATCGGTGGTAATATATTACGAAATTTTGGTTGTTTATGTATTGCTGAATTATTTTCATCTTCTGACGCACGAAAATGTTTTGTACCATATGGTATTGAACCGTACACAGATGTTGTCCATAATGAACGTTCATATGGTGTTGATGGTGGATGACCAGTGTAGAAACTAATTTAATGAACAATAAAAAAATGTAAATTAACATAAGAATATATAGAACTGTGTCAAGTCATTTTATCTCATGTCATTTCAGTAACAACGTAGAACTTCGTACGTACGTACATCAGTTCGAGTAGCCACACCACATTAGAACAGAGATGCAGTGGTCGATTTAAATCCCGTAGTGCTAGATGTAGTAAAATTATCTAACTAACAATTATCATTTCAATAAGGAAACCTTCCGCCTATATATATATATATATATATATATATATATATATATATATATATATATATATATATATATATATAGGGTACTTGGAAGCCAATTGACGGAGTAACCAAGAATCATGTTCAACATGGTCTGTTGATAATTGATAACTATCAAATATTCATAGTTGTTCAATATTTTCTTAAGGAATTAGGTATAGATTCTAGTCAAGACGTTCAAATTGTAATATATATGATTTGATGGTTTATATAAATGCGCGACAGATAATGTTTACTCAGGTAGTGCTCAAAATGCTTAAGTGTGTTGACTTTTTATCTTGTGAATATTGTATAGCACGCTATGTTGTTCGTGTACTTATTGTTTCATGATGTAGACACGACTAACAATCACTAGCATTCCATTTACAGACTACTTGATTGGGTTTTGAACAATTATGTCAGTCAATAGTTGAAAATGTGTAACAAGAATTAAAACCGATCAAAATGATGTAGAAGTATCCATTTTTATTTTTCCATTTCATCCAATCAGCGTTCACTTGAAGTTTTACCCAAAAATATCAAGGAAATGAAACGTCACATGCACAGGTTCTGATTGGCTGATTGCTACACTGCTACTATATTTAGTAGCATTCCAGAACCTTCAAGCAACCCAAGGACATTTAAAAATATTATAAAAACCCTATATTTTCTGAACCTTGGAGTAAAGTACTTCCCGCATACTTTGCATCTTCTCTCTCGTTCTTCAGATCGCTGTATAGTTCTAGCTTGAGGGTTACAGAATAGTTTAGTAAACGAATATAACATTCAATTTGCAAAACTTATCAACTATGTCTAGTTAGAAAAATAATCCTTGTAACTTACTTATTATCATGTAATCTATTACTCCATTCTTTAGATTTCCAAATTTGTTGAGATTTTTCTAATGAAAAATAATCTGTTGATACACGTAATGATAAATTTATTGGTTTATTTATCCATTTTTTCACTTCTTCTGGATTTTTAAATGGACCTTTGATTTTTGGCAATTCTTTATTCATTGAATTTATTTGATATAATGTTTGTTCTGTTGATAATTTCTTTTTTTGTTTATTGTTAGTTTTAATTAATTCTTGACGAACTACTGATAATAGAAGCTTCTCTTTGTCATTTATTCTATTACCAAAATGAAAATGTAATTGATTTTTTTTGGTTTTCGTTTTAATAAAAAAATATTGAGAAATAATTATGTTCAGAAGGGGTTTGTGGGAATTTTAGAAATTTCACTGGTTGAAATCATGAGTCAATTGAGGCTAGAACACCATGGAAAACCTGGAAGCACTGGATGGCCGTTCCATCCTAGTAGTGGACTCCTCAGCAGTGCGCATCCATGATCCTGCACCCCGCGAGATTCGATCATCTGCTCACTAGTGACTGACTTCAAGAGATACTCCTGGAGTTCTGGTGAGAAGCCATTACCAGTGGAGTTCAACCAGGTCTGTTGTGAGATATCAACTCACTGAAGACAATGGTGTGCGGTGGCGCAACTTCGTGGATTGGTTGATGTTAGACATTAACACCGTTGGATGCTGACTCAGTGGTCTAGTTGGTTAAGGGCCTGGCGCAAGACTGGATTCGAGTCTCGCGGGGTGCGGGATCGTGGGTGCACACTGCTGAGGAGTCTCGTGCTAGGACGAAACGGCCAGCTGTCCAGTGCTTCCAGGTTTTCCATGGTGGTCTAGCTTCAATTGACTCACGATTTCAACCAGTGAAATAATTATCCAATAGATACAGAAAATATGTTGTATGAAGAAGAAAATCTTGCTAGTATATTCTTTAAAGTGAATAATTTGGTCATCATTGAATAAAAATCAAAATGTGTCAATATGGTTATGCTTATGACTATTGCTTTGTAAGTTGTAGAAATAAAATCGATCACAAGTAATATTTTTCTCAAATTACGGTGTAGGTTACTTATATCCAAATAAGTAGTATGTAACGATAGTCAGGAATAGAATGTCTTGCAGTAGATTGACAAGGAAAGAACGTGAACCGAAAGCGATTGGTATAAAAATGCGGGAACAATGAAATCTGAGATGATGGACTGATATTTGCTAAGGAAACAGTCAAGTTTGAGACAATGGATTGGTCACAACTGATTGATCAGTGGGTGGTGATCAATGTCATGTGTGTCAAATTCTTATCAGTGCAGATCGAATACTATCGACGAGGTCACAATGTGGCCACCAGTCTAGGTGACTTGACACTGCGTGCGCTATGTTGAGATTAGACTTGACACACACAGTACACAATAATATTGACTAGGAATTAGTGAGAGTAATTGAGAATATAGAGTATTTGAATTTTATGTGATTTGGTTGATAGCATTCGATCTGCACTAAGATGGACTTGACACACATGACATTGATTGGTCACCACCCAGTGATCAATCAAATCTGATTACATCTCAGTCCTACAGGAGTTCAGTCGCGGCCCAGATAGCTCAGTGGTAATGTCTGTGACTTTGAAACTGGGTGATACGGGATCGAATCCGTCAGGGAGTATCATTTCCCTCAAGATTGCACGTACACCTTGCTGATGAGTGCTAAGTAACACGAAACCCAGGTCCAGGGTTTCCTGTTGACTACCTCCAACCACCATCTAGTCACAATGGATTGGTATTTTGCAAATTAAGTAATTACTGTATGGTTCTCAGATTTTAGTAAGATGTTCTGTAAATTTGTGTTCAAATACTTATGTTTAAACACTTATGTTCTCGTTCGCTACAAAATTACTTTATGTTATCATATATTTATAGGTTATAAGTGATTTTCACAAAAGATCAACATCAGCTAAAGCCTCGATGAATTACATAGAATATTGGAGCGTTTTATGAAGTGAATATACTTTACTAACAAAATAAGTATACATATATATGAAATACTTTTCCCTTATTTATCAAAATATAAAACAACTATATTGTCAAAACTACTTATTGTTGGTAGAATACAGAAAACGTTCGAAATTTTGATAATTCGTTCAAATTATTAATGTGATTGAACTAACAAAATGACGTAAATAGATATCAAAGCTTTTGAAGATTTAATGTAAGTTAAAGTGTTATATCCGAGTGGAGAGTAAATTACAGGTAACTTCCGAGGACTATTCATGGACTAATATCCTATAAATATTCTTATTGTATAACTATTCAACAATTACATTATGTATATTTATATCCCTCTTATGACAAGCTTTATTTTGGCCTATAATTTATTATTGTACGATTTACGGTTCTTAAGTTATGTTCAGTTTATTAACTACTGCCTCCCTCATTCACAGCCACTTTTTAGGCTTATTTGTGTACAAATATTATTTCCTATTTTATGGTACGTTGCGGTCTGTGTGATTGATATATAAACCAAGTATGCCTGAAATAAACGATCTGCTCTGATTCGGAAGCTGGTATCTTGTTCTGGACTCAAGTGGAAGGGCTCGTAGGACATAGGACCAATAAGGACGCTAAACTGCCCACACCGGTTGAACGTCATTGGTTGGCCTAGTGTGAAGATTCGTATAAGTCGTATCCGGATTGGTAGATAAATCGCGTGATAGAAAAATTAGACATTCAAGGTCATAACAATTGGCGACGGGGTGGAGAAACGTTTGATCCTCAACTTCAAGGTCAACATAAAGAATACATCTTTTTATTAGTAGTGACACAAACTTTTAGAATGTCAACTAAACTTCATACTACTATATCACTAACTTCTATCACTAATCATTCATACTTCGATTATACTAACTATTAGTTACTTAGTTTCAGGATTGTTATGCTAAGAAAAGTTGTTATTCCATCTTCAGTAATCATAATAGAAGGAATGCAGTCCTAATTGTATCTTCATGACGTTAAGAATAATTAGTGAATATTTATAGTTTAAATCACAAACTGATGTGAATTAAATTACTATTCAAAAACAGAAAGCACTGAACGGCCATTTTGTCCAAGTATGATTACTGAGCAATGAAAATTCATGATCCCACCTCAGCGGATCGAAATCAAAACCTTTCATCTTGCGCTCGAACTCTTAATCTATTGGCGACTGAACCGGGTGTTTAATCAATTCAAGAAATTACTGAACCTTTTTGGTGGAGTTTTGTTCTCTGAGCTGGATGGTTCGGTCGTGGAGCTTTCATCGTTCTTCTGAACGACATCATCAGCACAAACTTCAGATAGAAGTGAAGTGTTTGAATTTCTCCATATGTATCTCAAAGCTTGTTCTGTGCACCTCGACGTTGATTGGTTCTTATTGACCTTAAATTTGTCATTGTTTACTTCTTTGTTTTGGTTGTGTCTCGCATTGTTTTGATTTTTGTTCTTATGTTTGTGCATGATTTTTCTGATTGGTTGATAAATTGGATTGATTTCAATATGCTTGTTGATTGCTGATTGACCTGAGTGCCAGGCTTCTAAAAATTCTCTGGTGTTTTTGGAGTTTCCTCTGTCTAAGATTTCCACATTTTTCCAATCGAATGAGTGTCCGCAGTTGTCCACGTGTATTGATATAAGTGAAGAGATATCATGCCGTTTGACTGCTAATTGATGTTCATGTAGGCGAAGGTGAAGGGGGCGTCCACTTTGTCCGATGTAGTGTTTTTCGCAGTTGGCACAATTTATCTTGTAGATGATGTTTGATTTGTTTTCCTTTGTTATTTCATCTTTTGGTTTGCATAAGATTGATTGTAGTGATTTCGTCGGTTTGTGTGCCACACCTATTTCGTAGGTTTTCAGCAGTCTCGTTGCGGTTTCTGATATTCCTTGTATATATGGTAGGGTGATCCTTTTGTTGATTTTTGTGCTTGACTTGGGTTCTGATGCTGTGTGCTGTTGGTGCTTTTTGATGAAGTTGATTGGGTAGCCATTCTTCTGAAATACATCCTTTAGGTATTTCTCTTCATTTCTTCGTGCTCCCAGTGTGCTGCAGTGTGTCCTCGCCCTCTTGAACAAATTGTGTACGCAGTTGATTTTGTGAGCTCTGGGGTTGTTGCTATTGTAGTTGAGAATTTGATCCGTATGGGTCGGTTTCCTATATACTTGAGTTTCCAGTTTTCCTGTGTCAGTTCTAGTGATCAATATATCCAAGAATGCTAGTTGGTTGTTTGACTCCTGTTCCATGGTGAACTTGATGTCATCGAAGACGTTGTTGATCAGGTTGTAAGTGTTTTCCAGTTCATCCTTTTTGACGATGAAAAAGGTGTCGTCTACGTAGCGAATCCAAATTTTTGGCTTGATCACTGGTAAAATCGTGGCTTCTAGTCTTTGCATCACTGCCTCTGCGATCAACCCTGATATTGGTGATCCCATTGGTGTCCCTTTCGTTTGTTCGTAGATTTTGTTGTTGAATTGAAAGTATGTTGTTAGGCATAAATTGATGAGTTCCTGTAGACTTTGAATTTGAAGCTTCGTGTATTTAGTGAGGTTTGTGTCGTTGTTGAGCAGCAGGGATATAGTTTCTTTTGCTCATTTTGGTTCAATTGAGGTGAATAGTGCTGTCACGTCGAAGGATATCATCAGTTTGTCGTTGTTGATTTGGATGTCCTTAATTTGGTCCAGGAATTGTGTAGGGGATTTGATTGAGTGGTTGGCTGAATCTACTAAATGTCTCAGTATTCTTGAAATTTCTTTTGACAAATTGTACGTTGGTGTTCCGGGGAGTGCTACAATTGGACGTAGTGGGATGTTTGGTTTGTGTATTTTGGGTCTACCGTAGAATCGAGGAAGTACTGGTCCGTTGGATTTCATTCTCCATTGTTCTTGTTTTGTTATTTCTCCGGCTTTGACTAGCTTGTTTAAGGTCTTTGAGATTTGGTTGTCTAGTTTTTTGACGGGATTTGTATCCATCAGTTTGTATGTGCTCTTATCTTCTAGTAGTTCTTCGGCTTTTTTGACGTATTCTTCTTTGTCCATGATTACTGTGGTGCGTCCTTTGTCCGCTGGTATTATGACAATATCCTTTCTATTTTTGAGTTCTTTTAAGGCCTTTTGTTCTTGTGGAGTCAGTTGGCTGTTTTCCTTCGCACGTTGAGTTAGCGGTACTATAGTTTGCCTTATTTCTTGTTGTGTTTCTTCACTGATTCCCGAAGTTTTGAGTGATGACTCCAGTCCTGCGAAGAATTCCAGCTTTGAGGCGTCGCTTGTATTGTAGTTTAATCCTTTTTGGAGTAGGTCCTCTTCCGTATTTGTTAATGGTTGTTTTGACAAATTTATCACGCAGTTATTTGTGTTTTCTTCCATGGGTGGTTTTGAGATCTTGATCAGTTTTTTCTTTAAGGCGTTCCTTCTTTGTTCTCTCTGTCGTTTGTATGATATCTCGATGGTTGTTGTCAAGATTTCCAAGTGTTCTGACGTAAATGTCCTGTGTAGCTTCATCTTTTGGTCCTCTATGACGTGTTGGTATTTGCGGATTCTGTAGTGTGCATCCGTTATCATTAGGTGTACCATTTTTCTTCCACTTTGCTCAGCTATTTTCCATCCTAATGGGCAGTTGATTGGAGGTCTATATCTTACACTTGTTGGTAGAACATGCTGGCGAAGACACTCATGGAGAAAATATAGTTGTTCTCGAGTGGAAGCCTGCCTTTTGGCGAAATTCTCCCATTTTCGAACAACGAGAATTACTGAACCCTTATCCACTGCCTGGGATAAATAACTGTCTCACATTCAATATAGTTGAACTTTACCGGTCACGGCTTCTCAGTAGAACTTCAGGAGTTGCATTTTGAAATGAGTCATTAACGAGTATATGATTATCATCAGTATAGGGTTTTGTGGAAATTGCTGTATCTTCATAGTTTAAACACGAACTTATTTTCATTCATTGAATATAACCATGCTACTTATAAGGCAGAAGTAATATCATAGCATATCATGATTTACTTACGTTTTATCCATTGGATTTTGATATATTCCTGGTTGACAACATGTTGAAACCAGAAAATGATGTGATTTCGCCCAATTAATTATTCTGTCTCGTTCTTTTTCTTGCTTTTCTTTACGTTCCACATATTTCATTTCTTTTTCATATTCAGACAATTGATTTCTAGTTTATTATTTGAAATATTTGGTGAGCATTATCGAGAATTAATTACTTTAAAATCACTAATATCATGACCTGACTCTAATTAGACAACCATTTAAATCAGGGAGTACTAGATAGTGGTTTTGCCATACTATTAGACCCTTCTGAAATTCACACCACCAGCGATTAGTCCATGATAATTGGGGTATCATGATGACTGTGCTACATTTAAATCATTAAGTTAGTAATCAATATTTTATTATTTCAGTGGTTGTCAGATGGAGTTCAGTTCATAATATGAAATATTTGCATACATTTAGTTTTTCTGATGAAGTTTTGTTCTTTCAGCTGGATGGTTTGATCGTGGAGCTTTCATCGTCCTTCTGAACGACATCATCAGCACAGACTTCAGATATCATGCATATATTTAATTCTCAAGTAAAATATTCGGTAATGATCAAAATTCTTACTTGACAAATTCTCCTACATCAACTAGTGCAGATAGATAAACTTTACGTGAATAAAAGTTGAATATATATTTACGGGTTAAATAACCTTTCCACGCACTTTGAATCTATCATAGAATAAAAATAAACAGATAAATTATTGATCTTAACAGAATTAACTGGATTACTTTTGCTGCAGCCTTACTAAATTTATTTCGTCGATATTCTATAACAGTTTTAGATAATATAAGCCGATATTGTTTACGGCCTATATAGCCTCTCCAAGTTTTTTGAATGATGATTGTACATTTTTCGAGAAGTCTATAGATAAAAGGAAGTTTAAAAAAAGGATATTCTTTTAAACATTTGATAATAAGTGAAAGTATTCTGATAAACTAATTCTAGACCACCATGGAAAACATAGAATCACTGAACCACCGTTTCGTCCTGTTGTGGGACTCCTCTATTGATATTTGCTAAGTTAAAATGGTTCTATCATAGTTAGCATAGTTAGACAATATCTGCTCGGTGAGTTGTTCTCTATTCGGCTAGAGGGTGAACAAGCGCAGAAAGCTGCACTCCGGACCAATTATTATTTATTGTTACAATTGGGTGTTACCTCGCATTTAACGTATCATTGATTACTGGAAGATCATTGGTACCGGATAGAAAGTCTAGGCGAACTAATCAATACTCAGACTAGATCAAGGCATTTGCTCTCCTGTCTTACTATCAGATCTTACAGGCCCCAAATAGATACTCAAGGAAATCTGTTTATTCTCATTGACACATCAATAATGTGAACAGTAGAGATAATATGATACACCGAAAACCTCACTCGTCATCCTGTGTCACAGGTTGCTTGCTATTTTATCTTAGTTTGTTTGACAGTTCATGATTTCACAATGTAGCCTCTGAAAATCTCTAAAAGTGTTTTTACAGATCTTGTGTCGTTTGAAGGGGATTCTTGTTACGATTTGAAACCAAGTAAAGACATACAAAAATTGAGTAGCACTGAAAATCCCTTTCCCTAGCTCGGTACTTCTTAAAAGTACATACCTTGTATTATTCATGACTTTAAGTCATCTATTTTGACCGTGAGGTATGAACTCATCGATCCGTATTTACTAGTTTAGTTTTAAACCAGATTTACAAAGTCAGTCGGCTCGCTTGATCCATCTCTACACCATAAAGTATCTTTGCATAAGAAATGCAGCCTGACTGTTAGAGTTGTTCATGAAAGTAAGAAAAAAACTGGCTTATGTTGAAATTAGAACTATTTAATGTCACAAATAGACGGCATTTGTTGTCAATAATTTATATGAAGGCTAAACCCAACATTCAATGGGTGATATTATCGTGATAGCTGTCTTCTTATTTCAGATTAAAACTCAGGTGTCGCAAGTTGAACTATCTGCTTCTCGCTCGGATTCCAAGATTGTCTTAACATGAGGCTTGTATTACCTCTGATGACTATCAATTGCATCTGTTATTGGATGAAAGTGCATTGTGCGCGCTAGCTGGGTCGTCATATCACCCTTTTCTTTCGTTCTTCTTTCCCAACTCTCGTCACTCACTGTAATTTGCTTGCTTCCCTAGTACACAAAGTACCTTCTGTCTAGACGCGAACCGCTACACAAGGATATTTCTATTAAAATTTTAAAATGGCAAAGGATTCTCTTAATTTCAGTCATAAATCGTTCAATACTAAGTGTTATATCCGAGCGAAGATTAAATCACGAGTAACTAGTGAGACATATTAATTGACTAATATTATCTATACATTCTTATGGTATAACTATTCAATAATTAGATTATGTATATTTATATTCCTCTTATTATAAGCTTTATTTTGAACTATAATTTATTATTGTACGATTTACTGTTCTTAAGCTATGTTAAGTTTATTGACTACTGCCTCCTACATTCACAACCACTTTTTGGCTTTATTGTGTACAAATTTTATTTCCTATTTTATGGTGCGTTGCGGCCTGTTTGGTTGATATATAAACCCTATATGTCTGAAATAAATGATTCGATTCGATTCGCATGGTGGAAGCTGGTGTTGGTGTTCTGGACTCAAGTGGACGGGCTAGGCGGATATAGGACCAATGAGGACGCTAGACTGCCGATACCGGTCGAACGTCATTGGTTAGACACAGTGCGAAGATTGTAAAATTCGTATTCTGATTGGTGGATAAACCATGTGATAAAAAGCCGGACTTAAAGTCCTAACCTTAAGTATCCAAATCAATGGAAAAAACAATTACAAATTCGAAGAGCTCTACAAGAGTTGTTGAGAGAGACTCAGAGTCTACAGAACTAGATGAAAGTAAAAATGTCGGTTATTAATGTAAGTGAGGAAATAACAGCTCCTTGTGGCACACCTGCTTGAGACAGTAGGGATTTCGAACGCTCTCCTTCCAACACAGCGTAGTATTCTCTTTCATGGAGGTAGGAGCATAGCCAGTTGGTCAGCCAGCTGTCTGTGTTGACGCTGACTAACTTATTTGGTAGACGGCGTCTTGAAATCAAGTCAAAAGCAGAAGTATAGTCCAGAAAAGCACATCAAACACACATAAACATAATTGTATTGATTCAAGCTTTTGGACGGCAACTTAAAGTTGGATAGTCGATAAAGTCATTAGGAAACTTAAAACATGTAGAGATAGATCGGCACTAGTTCACGTTTAAAAATGTAGCTGCAACGCTGCCATAACTTTTCTTATTTCTTGGTCGATCCTGACGACGGATGTTTAAATTTTGTCCTGAAATTTTTTCATATCCACCCCTTGACTAGTTATGCGATTAATAGACATAATGATGTGCTTTAATAGAATAGAAAATAACTTTTCGAGATATCTAGATGGAAGGAACAAGTAGCCCAGTTATTCAAGCAGGCCGCCGTTGTACTAATAATAAGAGTCTGTTTCAGATACTTGAAGATAATTAGTTTCGAGTGATCTGCACCAATCACTTTAAATGAATGCACTTACTAAATCATAGTCTTTTTCCAACTCTAACTGTCTTATTTTGAATTTATAATAGTTGACAAATTATTTGAAAGTATTTGAATTGTCCCTTCGTTTATATTCAAAACTGAATTTTGGTCAATCCTAATTGTGATAGGATGAAATGTGACTTCTGGATTCTGCTGTAAACCATAATCTATCAATTCTGAAAACTTGTGACAAAATAGCCATATGAAGATAACCTACTGAGGGCACACTTACGCTAAGATTAATCATAACCCAGTCCTGAACATTAATAACGGCATAATTCAAACCGATTCCAATAACATCAGAAGTATCATAGCAGTTGAAAACGTTTGTATCGATCTTGATTGGTCATCATAGTGTAGGCGTTTTGATTGAAAGTTACTGGGTTCGAGTTTTATCGTAACCATCAACACTGGGATGTGATTGCATCTAGCTGACGAGACGCAAACAGAACAAAAGCCTTGTCTTTGATTCCCCTGCAAGACAAAACTCATCTATTCTAAAAGTTGACAAGTGTTTTTATTTTCCTGAAACCTTAACATCGATTTTAAATAAAAGCAATACAATAAAATGTAGACTGACTAATGATGTTATGACATCACTTATATAAAACATAGTAACATATATTTAACCAACTTTAAGTAGCACCGTATTCGAATACCACGAAACCATGCTTGGATTTTGACTGCTGCATTATACTCAGTAAGGCGATATGTATCACAGTTTCTGAAATATAAGGTATATTAATTTTCCGAAAAGTATTCCAACTCACCTATACACTTCTTTTAATTTTAACTCATAGTTATGTACAAATTTCTCTAACAAACTTTGATTCATGATTTATGAAGTTATTTTCAATACATATCTACTTTTATTGATATTATCTTTTACAAAAATGTCACCTACAAAAGTATGGTTTTAAATACTCTCTTTATCATTTTTCTCTTTTAATGACAAAAAGAACTGGTCAGTTCTAATGTTTTGTTACTAAAATCAAAGTTTTGTTTCAATGAGACGAAATAAGTGTGAGGTTATGAATAATTAACAAGCAAATTTGATCAATGATTTGATTTCAAATCATTTGATGACAATACTACGTAGAATTTAGAACAAAAAAGGGAAACAGACAGTTTGACTAATACTTATCCAATTTTCAACCACTGGTCTTGAATAAAATACATACAAAATTCGACGTACTAATTATTGAAGAGGGTAAAATTAAGTTGTAAATTAACGATCTAGTACGTCTGTTTTTTATAGACTTATATCTGGCATATTAACTAGCAAGATACATATGTTTACTTTGCATTTGATAAAAGTCCATACGACTTACAGTGATCGTGAATTGATTTGTTTTGTTGAAAAGAATACTTTCCTAGACTATGAGTGTTCAAGAAATTATATGAAAGATGTCTCACCACTAATGCCTCAGATAATATAGCGAGAATGCTTTGAGCTTGTAATTATACTTGTGGGAATTTGTGTAACGAGATGTGCAATCTTTAAGACTTGAAAGATCCAATATAAACTGAGCTATTGTTATAAATTGCGAACTATATCATTTAAGATTTCTAGCCAGTGGTTTTTGACATAACGAGTTCCTACTTCGAGGAGTTCGTAGTAGCAATAAGCGAATCTAAAAACTGATGTAATGTTAGGTTCTGGTGACTCAATTTTCCTCAGTTCAATGGATCTTGATGTACGACTATTTCGTATGCATAATATAGTATCGAGTTAATTTACTAGTTAGAGCTACATAAGATCATTAGTTGTATTAACTTACTTACCTTGCACTTGCCAATCAATGATTTCATCGCACTCGAACTATGTTTCAAATATACGTGCGACTTTATCTTTAAAATTTAGGTGGATAATTTTTCATGTGTTTAACTGTAAACACATTTTGATTTATCAGGAAGTTTGCTAGCAACATGTTTAAGCATCGCTCTGTTTAAATTTGTAATCGTATGTCCTAACATACTTGGAGCAGCAAGTGGTATGACAGTAACTCCAAGCCAACCCGTAATAGCTGTACCTAAAACTTAACTATCCCGATTGTACTCAATGAAGTCGAAACCTTCAAGTAGTTCTGCACTAACTTGATCGTCATAACTATGGCAAACGCATTAGGAGGTGGTTTGTGGAATTCGCTATGTTCGGCTACACCATTAACGGTTACGTTCTCTAATTTATATTTGTTTTACGAATCTGGTTTACTAAATCATTCACCCTATGGTTTAGTGATGACATTATATTTTTGGTAGGTCATAAATAACAGCAAAAGTAAGATAGAGTTACAGGGAAACTTGGATGCTCTAGTTGAGTGGAAAAATCCATCGTCGTTAGTAGTAAATGATATGTAGTATCGTACTCCTAAATTTTCATTACAGTAATCTACATCACAATACAACAAACAAAACACCTTTATCCAAGATTATTGATTGTAAGAATTTAGGAGTCGTAACAGACGGTTTCTCAAGAAATATAGCTAAGTGCAAAGTGAGTAGTGTTAAAGACTTATAGGTCTGTTAGAAGCTGTGCATAACTCATCATAAGTTGAATGAATGAACGTATGTCAAGAACATTTTACCTGATACATATCAGATTACAAGTCATAAGAGTTCGTCTAATTTTTTTCCAGCTGTCAAGAGGAGTATCACCAGGCTCCATCCTTCCAATACCCAGGATGCACCTTAGATTCACAAACAATCCTATATCCAGATAGTATTAAGATGTGGAAGGAGATAGAAAGTCTCTCTGATTTCCCAATAAAATATGCTATTAGACTGTCGGAGATTTCTTTCCTCTGAGCACTAGTAAACGCAATAGACTGACAAAAGGTTATAGAAACAACCAACATACTGAACTAGGATTGTTGAAAACCTTTTTCGAATTACTACACTTTTAGTTTAAATGGTTCAAATGGCCTATCAATAAACTTTGGCCCTCATAACGTAACCGCTCGAATAAGCTATCAGAATTCTGATATTAATATTTCATTACAAAATAGCCACAGTTAGAGTTCAGACATTTCGCAACGTCCTTATTAAAAGATGGAATACGCTTCCGGCCGAGTTAGTCCAAGCAACTTCCCAGGAGTCATTTAAGAGGCAACTTGATCTATTCTTAAGGACTAAGGATAGTATCACACTATGATTTACTAATTTACTTTCCTCTTTTATTGTTAACATACCTAGGTTCCTGCCTGGAGGATTTGGTGATCCTCTGCTACTAGATACGGAAGCCTGTTAAGCGAAAGCTTCTTCTATTCCGTCCACAACCATTTGAACCATTTGAACCACTTGAACCAGATGGATGCCATAGCAACCAACTTGAATTTCCGCCTCACGTTTAACGTAACCTTCCATCACGACAAACATTTCGCGAAATTTCCCTGCTGACACATACTAATGACAACGATAGCCTGTGAACATAGCCGTCTTTTCTCCATTACCGATGTTTTGACAAGAGTTCGCCATCTATTCGTTACTGGCTCGAAAGTAAACATACTTCCCGCCGATGCAATAACAGTCTACAAGATTGGGTCTTCAAGTTACAGGCTGAAAATGGAAAACCGATCACCAATTAAAGTAAAGCGGCTAGTGCAGACCCATACGCCGGGCTTTCGTTGTTACGAAAGTATCAGTGCCAATCAAAGTTATGGACCCGCTACAATACCATAGGGTCAACCCTTCTTACGACTTGGTACATACATTTTCGTACGTCACGATTCATTACTCCAGAAACTCAAAGCTGCGTACGAAGTACAGTATAAAATTGTTAACCGCGAACCTGAGTATCGTATTACTGATCAGAACGAAATAAAAGGTGACATCGACATCCGTCGGCTAAGACTCCCTTACATAGAAATCGACTGCATCTGTATTGGCTTTCCCACCAAGCAGTCGAACGACACAGTGCGCACAACTAAGTCCAAACCTTCAATAGTTATTGGTCACGACGAAACGCGGATGGTATCCGATAACCAGTCTAAAACGATTAACTTTGGAAAGACGTATAGCGACTCACGTGCAATTGAGTTTATTTTCATTTAACCCAGTTAAGCCCTTTTGCTAAATCATTTAGCGGACAAAGTTATCCGCACTATAACAATTTATTGTACCCTTATTATTATTCTGTGCTTGTATGAAATACGTATGCTTGAATATTGCTTACGGCCTACACATTTATTCACTCTGCTAGTCTTACTACTAACTGCTTATTTGATTCGATTACTCATTCATTTCACATGGTATTTATATGTCCATGTTATTCAAATTCAACACTCGCTCACTCACACGCTCTCGTCTCGCTCTTGCTCTGGCTCTCGCTCGCTTGCTTGCCTTTCGGCACAACTCTTCTATGCTTGTTTAACGCATCTGTACATTTGGATATATGTGTGTGGTCTCGCAATAAACGTAATCAACACTTCGTATTTGCCTTCTGATTAATATACCATTGGTACGTTATATAGAACGGTTTTGTAGTGGCATTGAACAATACCGCACAATCCACAAAGCTGAACACGAGACTACTCAGAAAATAGATATTCAATATTTAACGCGGATAAATACCTAACGATGGAGAAGGCGCGAAGAATGAATTGAATGGACTGTTGTTGATCGAGTGGCATGGCTCGGCCATGCAGGCGTGGTCCATCTCAGTGTTACTGTATTCTATTCATATTAAATATATTGTTCCTTCTCTAACCTAACCTTGTTCTTCATCATGTATTGGTAATTGATACGATACAGTGAGTTGGTGTAGTCGATGGTGTGACTTCCACGTAAGATCTTATAGATTAGGCAGTTATATCATGACGAATCTACAAATTTAGGATTAGGTCTATTATTAGAGCAGTACTAATATCATAGTAGACCATAATTCTACATTGGTGAGCCCAACTAAAGAAACGCAACCTAATATATTAATCCTAATTTCCACTTCAACTTTCTCGATCGATTTTATATTTATGTTAGCCCTGTATTCTAATAGTCCTCTGATTAATGCTCACATGCATTATCGTAATGTTATATTGATTAGTCCTCATGACAAACTAGCTCAACCGATAATAAAAACTGGTCGTCTATATCAACTAATTAGCTTTGATGGTTTGTTAACAAGCTGTAATAGCATTTACATGCTTCAGCGACATAGTCTTGTTTAAACATCAAGCTCTAGCAAATATGACCTGTAAATAGCGTAAATATACATTGACTAACAATGCGATCAAGGACTAAATAGTTATCTGGATCTAATTCTCAGTGTTCCTTCACTTAACACCTCATCCTGTTTTAAACGATGCACTATCCTGTAATATCTTTTCTTCCGACCACTGCCTGCCTAATTTCATATTCTCGAGTTCCATTGCCAAACAACGAGGATGACTACTCCAAAAACATACGGTGAGTTTCAGCTATAAGTTTTCTGCAATCATTTTTAGATGGTTCGTTCAATGACAACCATACAATTATCTGGATTCATTCGATTGTTCTGATCCGAGCGAGTGTCAAAAACCTCAACAGCATCAAGCACCCTGGAATTAATTGCCATACTGCATGTTTTATTCTGGATGCTTTTGGATCAATACTACTCACGAATGGCAGTATATATGTCGTCCACTGAATAATCTAATTTTCAAAAATAATCCAGGCGAGTTCAACTATTTTACTGGATGATTTTTTTTGTACTTAAGATGTATATGTTTTTCAGTTGCTTTTGCCATATATTTGTAAGTGTCACTAAGCTAAATGCAGTAACTTCTTATGGAAGGTTTATAACGCATCATATTCCTGCCTGAAGTTTCACAAGCAGTCTTAACTTTAAAATTATTTATCTGGTCATGTTCATTATTTTCAAATTGTCATATACGTCAACAACCTGCTTGTTAACCTGGCCCGCACATACGTTACACTATATCTTCATGTCTTCTAAATTTAGGAATCATCTGAGTCGCCTTTAGCATTTATCAATAAACCCATCATAGTCGTTGTTGCTAATCGTATTTGGGTTTATGGATTGGTTTATCATATTAGCAGCCTAAAATGCGAACATAGTTTAGATAATAAGATTAAAAATTTAGGTACTATCAACTGCACTAGTAAAATAACTGAATCCTCAGGTAGCTGTTGGCTAAACAAACGTTTGAAATCAAAACTCCGTAGCCTACTAGAATTAACTGTAAACGAATATTTCTGAATTGAAAAGTATAATTAAATTAGGCGTCTCGGATTCCTTAACGTTGTAAATTTCTGATAATTTCGAATCACATAAAGCAACAATACCTATTTTTCCACTGACTAATCCTCAATCAACACTATAACTAGTTAAACATAATAGTTTCAGGATATCGTCATAAAGCATTGTCATAACTTGACAATCACGTAATATGATTGATAAAATTAATGAAACTACTAACGAAATCGGTCAACAAATTGGCTTATAATTACCATTAAATGGTGTTGTTTTCTTGGTATCTTCATCCATCACAGATGATTACAGTATGTTTCTCTATCAGTTGCTCATTCAGTAAATATCTCAAAACCTTGTCAGTCTAATTGATGGTTTAACGACACAATCATGCATGCAAATAATCAGTATAAGCAGTCGAGCAAATCTCCTGCAAACTGAAAACATCAATGTCGAATTTACCCCAACACTGACTAAGGTTCAAGCCATTATCATAGACATGAGTTGGGAGTGTACTCCCTGGTTACAACTTATGTTCTCCCTGATAATCACATGAGCATCACTCACTATTAATCATCTTGTAAAAACTTATTTAGCTAAATACATCTTGCAGCACCACATCACTTCGTAATATGACCTATAGGCTTAACTGATTTTAATAACTTATAACCACTATATCTCAATTAAATCGTATTCTGCCTGGATACGTGCAACTAACTTGTATGCCCATCAGCCGGCAAGTATAAATATAAATAAATAGTCTATCGCAGATCAGAACATTGAGTCTAGAGCATGTCTCTTACGAATACACTCATGTTTAACGATTTGTTCCTAGCTATCTGTCCAAAATTCATATAATCATCATTCACGTATTTAAATTTTGTTTTGATGAACATTCATGTGTATTAGTAGTATTACTAAATTCTATCACGGTCAAGTAAAAATGAGGTTGAGAAAATCTCCCCGTAACTAAATAAACCGTATCAAACTAACTGGAACACTAGTTGGAATTCTTTTCCATGGTAATACTTTTGTTCCTTCAGTTAGCCTACTAATACATATGCAATTGGAAATCACATATGGACGGGTTACCGGTATAATTGTTAATTGGTTTCATAATTTAAACCAAAACTAATACCAATATTAACATTTCTACAATATTCATTACTTTAATATTTCTAAACACAAAATACTTACTACCTATACGTCAAGTTATTAACCAACGGCTATTAACACGCACTGTTTTATTATTATTACTGTAATCCCATTTTTTATAGCTCAAATAATCTTCACCCAAATTGTCATTTTAAGTGTGTTAAGCATGAAGGCAGATTTTTTCAAAAATTATTACATGTATTTCCCGACCAGATGCTGCCGCCTTCTTTTTGATTTATCTTTCAGCTTATCAATACCCGGAGGATCCTTATTATCCTTGGTAACCTCCGGCGCGCGACGATCCCATCCAATTCGGTATCGAACCAACATCACGTTGATTCTGGTGGGAGAGTAGTGTAGTGGCATTGAACAATAACCGCACAATCCACAAAGCTGAACACGAGACTACTCAGAAAATAGATATTCAATATTTAACGCGGATAAATACCTAACGATGGAGAAGGCGCGAAGAATGAATTGAATGGACTGGAGTTGATCGAGTGGCATGGCTCGGCCATGCAGGCGTGGTCCCTATTCATATTAAATATATTGTTCTTTCTCTAACCTAACCTTGTTCTTCATCATGTATTGGTAATTGATACGATACAGTGAGTTGGTGTAGTCGATGGTGTGACTTCCACGTAAGATCTTATAGATTAGGCAGTTATATCATGACGAATCTACAAATTTAGGATTAGGTCTATTATTAGAGCAGTACTAATGTTATAGTAGACCATAATTCCACAGGTTATCAAGACGAACTGTATACGAAGTTTAGGGATTATATCGAATACCGACCACCACATAATTGGCGATCCCGACGTGCGAACACGAAACAATTTTCAACGACATAATCCAATTCCTAAAATCCAACGTACTCGATTACAATTGTAACTATCATTTGGATTATAATTATAAGTGTGGATTTATCATCTCATTATTTTAATTATACGTACATTATCTCACAAACCTCATAGAACATAACGATAATATTCATAG